TTCCCTTCTTTCCTTTCCCCTACCCCTCTCACTTCCCCCTCCCCTTTGCCCCTTTTCTTCCTATTTCACATTATCTATTATATCTTTTAGTCCTTATTTACACTTTCAGTTTCTCACCCTGGAGAAACTATTCAGTATTTACAAATGTGTGTCCTATTTATTTCACTTAAGAGTATTGCCTCAATGTCGATCCATTTAGCAATAAATGTCTCTAATTTCTCATTTTTGATGGCTAAGTAATACTCCATTTTATTTTTAAAAAGCACAATTTATTTATCTAGTCTACAGTTGATGGCATTTGGGCTGTTTCCAAGTTTTAGCTATTACAAACTGTGATGCTATGAACATGGGTACACATATATCACTGTGGTATGATTCTTTTAATTCTTTTTTTCTGTGTTTTCCATCTTTTGGCATATAGGTTCTCAAAGTAGGTATTGATGATCCTCTGGATTTCTGCTGGGTCCATTGTAATTTCACCCTTTTCATTCCTAATTGCATGGATTTGGACCTTTTCTTTCCTTTCTTTGATAAACAGGCTAAGAGTTTGTCAATTTTATTTATTCTTTTGAAGAACAAACTCCTTGCTTCATTGATTTTTTTGTATCATTCTTTTAGTCTTCATTGCATTTATTTCTGCTCTGATTTTTATAATTTCCTCCCTTGTGTGAGCTTTGAGTATCTCTTGCACTTCTTTTTCTAGCAGCTTGATTTTCAGCATTAGGCTGTTTACTTGACTTCATTCTCTTTTCCTAATATGAGTATTCACTGCTATGAATTTCCCTCTCAAGACTGCTTTCATTGCGTCCCATTAATTCCAACACATAGTATTAGCATTTTCACTTAATTGTACAATCTGTCTAATTTCTTCTTTAATTTCCTCTGTGACTCATTGGTTGTTCAGGAGTGTGTTCTTCAATTTCCATGTGTTTATGAAGTTCTTGTGGTTTCTTTTGCTATTGACTTCCAATTTTATCACACCATGATCTGATAATATACAGAGGATAACTTCAATTCCTTTGCATTTACTTAAACATGTTCTATAAGTGAGTATGTGGTTTATTTTGAAGAATGACCTCTGTGCAGGTGAAATGAATGTGTATCCTGATTTTGTTAGGTTGGACACTCTGTAAACATCTGTTAAGTCCATGTGTTTCAGAGTTTAGTTGAGTTCTAGTATTTTATTTATTTTTTTTTGTCTAGTTGATCTATCTATTTGTGACAGTGCAGTATTGAGGTCCCCCATTACTATTTTATTAGTGCTTATTTGATTTTTCATGTCTGTTAGTATTTTTTTTGTATGATTGGGCACACTAGTATTTGGTGCATATATATTTATGATTGTCATCTTTTTCTCTTGGATTTTTTCCCTTTAGAAGGATGTAGTGTCCTTCTTTGTCCATCTTAATCAGTGTTGGTTTGAAATCCATTTTATTTTCAAATAGGATATCTACTGCTGCTTTTTTTCAGGTTTTTGTCACATAGAGTATTGTTTTCCACCCTTTAACTTTCAGTCTATGAGTTTCTTTTTTTTTTTTTTTTGATAAAGTAGCAATTTTTACTCAAAGGCATTGCTATTGAAACAAAAGAAAAACAAAAGTAAATAGTTGGATCAAATTATAAAGCAGCTTTTGAGTAATCAAAATTTTTTCTACTCTATTGCATTTCCAAAACTTTGCCTTAAACTCTCAACTCTGCCCTCTCCCAAGTACTCAGAATGTGTTTGCAGATTTTTTGTCTAAAAACAAAACTGTTGAATAATATAACCTCCAAACCAAATGTAAATTTATAGATTCTGTGGTATCTATTACTTGAAAAGGAAGTGAAAAGTATTAGGGTCAGGGAAGATCTTCAAGAAATTATTTTGGGGGTTTTGGGTTTGGGTTGGTTTGGGTTTTGTTGGGGGTTTTTTCCATTAAGTTTATTGATACCTTTTAGGTATATAATACAATTCCATTCATCATTGGGAACTTGTACCTTTACATGATGTATTTTGGTTCTTATTTTTTCCCCATTCCCCTGACCTCCCTTCAACCCCATCACCCTTCCCTTTTTACAAAGATTTTGTTTCCATTTTTTTTCCTTTTCTCATATTTTTTTTACCTTCTTTCCTTTCCCCTACTCCTCTCACTTCCTCTACTCCTTTAGACTTTTTCTTCCTATTACACAATATCAATTATACATTTTGATCCTTATTTACACTTTTAGTTTTTCACACCAGAGAAACTATTCACTATTTACACATGTGTGTCCTGTATATTTCACTTAAGTGTATGACTTCAATGTGCATCCACTTAGCTATAAATGTCTCTAGTTTCTTGTTCTTTATGGCTGAGTAGTACTCCATTTTATGAGAAAAAAAAAATCTTCTTTATCCAGAGTTTCTCTTTGAATTAAGTGTGTTTCTTGTATACAGCAAATTGTTGGATTTTGTTTCTTAACCCATTCTCCCAGTCTATTTCTTTTGATTGGTGAATTGAAAGCATTAACATTGGTGATTATAACTGATATGTATTGGCTTATCCTTGTCATGACCTTTTCCTGTCGTTGGATTCTCCCTCTTTACATTTAATTTATTGTCTTGCCTGATGGATTCATTCTGCTGGCACTCATCAGGTTGTGACCTTAATTGTCTTCTCCTTGGATACTGTTTAAAATTTTTTGGAGTGCTGGTTTGTATTCATGAAGTTCCTCAGGTATCCTTTGTCATGAAAGTATCTTATTACTCCATTGATTTTTGAAAGATAGTTTTGCAGGATACATCAATCTGGGTTGCAGGTTGTTTTCTTTTAGGGCTTGAAATACTTTACTCTATGCTCTTCTTGCCTTGAGGGTTTGTGTTGAGAAGTCTGCTGTGATTCTGGTGGGCTTTCCTTTTTATGTGATTTGTTACTTTTCTCTCACTGCTTGCAGAATTTTGTTTTTCAGTTGGGTTTCTGGAATCTTCACTATTATATTCCTAGGTATAGATCTTTTTGATCCTGGCTAGTTGGAATCCTATATGCCTCACTTATCTGTATGTCAAATTCTTTTCCCCTGCTTGGGAAGATTTCTGTCATTAATTCTGTGAAGAGTTTTTTATGTCATTTGTACTATCTCCTGTTTCTTCATTGACTCTGATCAGTCTTATGTTATTCTTTGCATTATCTAGCAGCTGCTGAATTGATTTCTCATGGTCCCTTGCCTTTATGAAGAAATCTTTGTTCTCCTGGTCACTAATCACAGTTCTGTCTTCTATGTGTAATAATCTATCCTCACATTGGCTCATTCTGCTGTGAAATTTTCAATGGAGTTTTAATCTCCTAGATATCTGTTTGCATCTGTTCAATGGATTCCATTTGTTTCCTATGCTAGGATTCCATCATGTTCCTCAGCTGCTCTACTTTCTTTTATCTTTTTCTGCTCTAGAGTTATTAATCATGTCTTTCACTATGGACACAATCTCTATTGTTATCTGAGAAATTATTTCTGATTTTATTTTTTCCAGATCTTCTGTCATTACCAGTTCAGGGAGTCCAGGTGGTTGAATTTCAGATTGTTCCATCTTGTTGCCCCTTGGGGTTGCCTTTGCTTATCTGAAAGTCTAGTTTTGAGACTTGTTTAGGTGTCTTTTCATTTAAACCAATGCTGTCTGGTGCACCTTTATTGAGGTGATCCTTTGCTCTCCTGGTGGGCTTTAATTCTCAACAAGCCTCAGAGAGGCCTTCTCTCTGCTGCCCATCACTGCATCAGTTTCTGAGTTCAGAATGATGGCCTTCTGGATCCCCGCACTGGGCTGCTGTCCAGGGGGGGTTCTGTCTGGGGCCCGGGCACCTGCACAGCTGTTTTCCAGGTGGGCCTTTGGCTGGGGCCTGCACACCCAAGCTGCTGCTGTCTGGCTGGGGCCCTGGCTAGGGCCTGTATTCTTGCACTGCTATTGTCTGGGCAGGTTTCTAGTAATGGTTAACTTTTTAAGAAATTGCTGATCTGTTTTTGTAAAATGTTTCTATGATTTCACATTTCTACCAGCAAAATGTGAGAATTCCTATATATATATATATATATATATATATATACACACACACACACACACATATCTTTACCAACATGTGGTTATTTACATTATTTTTTAATGTAAAATTTTCTATTAGGAGTATTGTGGTTTAAATTTCTCTAGTGACTAATGAAGTTGAAAATTTTTCTATGTGATTATTTAGCATCACTTTAACTAGTTTGTTTAAATATATTTAAACCTGTGGACATTTTAAAAACTGTTTTTATATACTATTACTAAATTTTGAGAGTTTTTAGAAATGATGTGTTCTGGGTACAATTCATTTATCAGATGTATGATGTCCAAAGCATTTTATAGGAGTAGTTGCTTCAGATTCATAATGAAATTTATTGGACATGTTATTGGTTAAAAAGTATTTGTTCATTGAGATACAAGTCTTGCTCACTATGTGGTTTGTCTATCTTCATCTTATTCTGGAAATTCAGATGTGTGCTTCATTAAATTTACAAATTACTATCCATGATAATAATAAGTGGTCTGTATTGAGTCAATATTGTGCACTGAAGACTATGCTCACCCTTCATCTACTTTATTTCCCTCAATCCTGACAATAGCCAGGGAGAAAAGTTCTATCACTCTTCTCTGTTAATCAGATGATGACATTTAGACTCAAAGGGATGATGTAACTGGCCCAAGATCATATACCCTTGATTTGACTCCAAATATGACTCTGTGATTGAAAAGTTGGACTGCTAGGCCACTAATATTTATTTTGATAATACTTTTGTATAAACCCCAGAAAAGACAAAACTACCAGTGCCCCCATAGGAACTTGACTTTAAGCATACAGTAGGCATTGAAGATATTCATTTGGAAAGATAGTGAATGAATGCATGAACAGCAAATGAATGGATGAAGAGAGAGGGAAGTTAAGGGTTTAAACTGAGTTGAGATATATAAGATTTTTGGTTGGTAAAGGGTGATGAATTTGTCTGTAAGGATTTCTGTAATCTTTTTATAATGACTTAAAATTTTTTAAAGTCTGGACTTCAAGGAAGTTTGCCAATAAAGTTGTCTGTGTAAAGGTAGAATCAGTCACTGCCAGTCAGGAATAGTCTATGTGGCCCTGCAGCTGACCATGAAAGCCTTACAAATATTGCAGAAGGCATCTGAACAAGAAAACACAATAGCTGTTCTAAATTATAATCTCAATTACTTATCTCAGTATTTTATTTGAATGCCCTTTGAATTTTGGATACTAAGTAGACTTTGATTCTGATTTTCTGCTTTGATGCAAGAAATGGAGCCTCAGAGAGATGACAGTCCTAATGTTACAGTTTCTGTTAACAGAAATCTGGACACACTAGTTCCCAGTCCAACTTATACTCCTCTACAACACACTGTCTCTACATATAGCCAGTCACAGGTAATCTCACATGCTATGATATGTACCTTAAAAAGTAGTTTTTCCAGGTAGGATCAATGTCTTCTCAGTCTCTGGAGAGAGGAATGGCTAAGGCCCAAAGGAAAGAAGACCAAAAAGTATGGGTTTAGAAAGCTTCAAGTGCAAACTTGGAACATGTTCCCTTCTGTAAGCCTTTCAATGAGAGCAAAAATTTTGCTTTCATTTCCAAAACATTCTTTTTAGCTTATATTAATTCTAATTTGGAAATTTTTCTCACAGCAACCTATCACTATATTATTTGACTTTACTTTTACCAAAGTAGTTTCCTCTACCTCAGGAATATTGAGATAAAGCCACCAATATTAGGAACTGATAATATTTATAGGTAGTACCAGTATTAGGAACTTACATTCATTAGCTTTAATTTTCCCTATGACTTTGTAAAATATGTAAGTAGGATTGTCATCTTTTCTTAATGGATGAAATAATAGAAGCTCAGAAAAGAACACATTTGATGTAGCAATATTAATAAGGTGTAGGTCCATAAATCAGTCCCATGTACTAGTGTTACAAAAGGCTTTCTTTCATTTGCACATAGTGCAAAAAGACTCACAAGCAAAGGAAGCATCTCTATCCAGTCTATGCATGGCCAAACTGGTACATAAGTTTCTGGTTTTCTGGAGAATTAGAATATTCTTCATGGATGTCTGAAATAATCAAGATTTAGAAAATTACTCATTGGTAAATAGGGTAGTGCTATGAAAAACAGAAAGAGAATCCCAAAAATAATAATTAAAAATAATAAATAATTTGTACTATATACTATGTCATACATTATATAAAATGTATTGCTGTTTATTTCTTGCAGAAGCATTAGAAATATGTACTGTTTTATTGCACTTAACATTTTACAAATAGGTGGCTTTAGACTGAAGTGACTTGCTCTGAGTCAACTGGAAATAGTAAAATTTTTATTTCTAAATCTACCTTGTTACCTTGGGAGGATTAAAAATCACCTGAGATAGAAAGAAACAAAAGCAAAAGAAAGCTTCAGGACAAAGTGAAAAACAAATTAAAAGTTGGAGCTTTTACTTAAAGAGGAATAATTGTTTCTAAAAACCAGCTTCAGTGATCCCTAAAGTACTTTCTAAAGTTCTGTAACACTAAAGTTGGAATTGATTTTCCTGTTCCAAGGTTTAATATATATCACCAGACATAAATAAGAAATCACATTGTTTGTCTCTGAGTAGTACCATTTGTTTAGCATGAAATTGAGGAATGCAATTGTGTTTACTATTAATAATTTGAAAAATAATTGTTTTGTGACTCACAATAAATGATAATGTTACATGAAAAATGTATGACCATCATTCAGTCTCCAGCTTCCAATCAAATTAAGAACAAGTGTCAGATACAAGTCATGATGAGTTTCATTCAGTGACCTGTATAAGAACATAGGGCTTACAATTCACCAACTCCCAACCCCTGCTGAGTTCACTTTGCAGCCTAAAGTCTCTGCTCTGAAACAGCAGCCTCATGAGCTACTTAGGGAATTTAGCTAAGACTCTCTTCTTGTCCCTTCTTCTCCAATTAAATGTGTCCTTATGAAGAGTCAAGGTGCTTGGGAGATACCTTTTAAACACATGGGCTCTGAAAAGAAACATAAGCTTTGATTCTAGTGTCACTACTTACTAATTGTGACCTTACTAATTGTGACCTCAGATGACATAGTAGGATTTTGAGGTCATCTCCAACATCCATTCTGACCTCTTCCTACAATAACAATAGAATTTTTAGCTGGATATATTGATACCTAGAATACGGAATACATTCTCTGGCCATGTTTGACACTAGTTCCTGTATTGCTCCACATGACTAATGCTGTCCAATTTAAGTGAGAACGTTCTGAGTAATTTCTGAACCTAAAAGAAGGCCGATGTACTCTTTGCCTCTTTTTATTCATCTTTCTTTAATCTGATTACCTAAAACATATTCACACTGTGAATAACGAGGCTGAAAGTCTTACCCAACAAATGGCAGAATGCTGAACTGGTAGAAGAGTTGGTTTCTGAGTACTATGTAGAAGCAGAGCTATATTATGCCATTTAATACCTGGATTGATATCTCTGCAGATTTAAATGATAGAAGAGTAAGTTTCTGATGTAACTGTTATTTTAATGCTTTCCATTCAAACATAAACTGAACTGTTACAGTTAAGTTATATAAAATAATAGCATGTGTATAACTCAGAGGTTTATTTTGACAATTACATGAGAAAATGCATGTAAGTACAAGGCCTGAATAGTAAGAATTAAACCTTTATCATGATCATTAATATTATGATAGTACTTTATGCCTATTTAAAACAATTTTCTTGTCAGCCTTTGTCCAGTAATTATGATATTTTAGGCACTTCTTCAGACTAAGAAACATTATAAGAAAAGACAAGAATGCACTTGCAAAATCTCTCTGGTCTACATAGTCAAAACCATTTCTTTCTCTTTACTAAGAGATAATTTTATATAAGGAATATAGGATTAGCATCTAGACTGCCAAGAAAATAGACTACCATTTTTTCTTTCCAACTTATCTTTTCCAGTATTTATTTTCAGTCATTAAGTGCTCTTGTCAATTAGAAAATTACTACAGGATGCTGTTCTGCTTTCAAGAATGAAATGTGTTTTAAATTATATTTAAATAAATTATACTTTAAGAAGATCACTTCCTGGCACCTTGAACTCATTAGTTAATGATCTCTAAATCCTAAAATGGATTATTTCTAGGAAATGTTCTGAATATGTGTGTGCTGATTCTCTTCCCTTTGTTATTAAATAATTCTGGATATAACTTTTGCCTACATGCCACAGAGGTTAAAATTGGTTAAATGTAAAATGAGCAGTGCTGGATTATGGGAAAGAAAAATTTCTGAGAATTACACAAGCCAAGGAAATTGTCATTGGAGGAATAAAACTTGAAAAGGGTAAGATTTAGATTGAAGACAGAAAACAACATCTGTGCTAGGTAAGAGTACCAACAGTTACAAAGATACAGGGACAAGGACAGAGCCAGGCAAGCCAACTGAAGCAGAGTTCCAATGGAAAAGTAGGCAAAGGAAAAAAAATGTACATTGAAATTAGAATATATAGGGCCTCACATACCAAATGAAGGAATTTGGACTTCAGGCTTGATACAGAAAAATCGATGGGTGTTGAGCAGAAATGTGAACGAGCAAAATGATAGTTTAACTTATGACTGTGAGCTGCATGTTTGGGTTAGAAGCTGAAGAGTTGAAGAAAATGGTTTAGGAGACTTTTAAAATGAGCATATTGATATATAATTCATATGTCCTAAATTTCACCCATTTATACTTTATAATTTAATTATTTTTAGTACAGTCACATATGAGACAAATATTACAATCTCAATTTAAAATATTTTTGTCCCTCTCTTGAAGAACCTAGCATCCACTAGCAGTACCCAGCCACTAGCAGCTACTAATCTAATAATGTCTTTATAGATTTACATATCCCAGGTACTTCATATAAATAGAATCATACAATATTTCATTTTTTATGACTGGCTTCTTGCACTTACCATAATGTTTTCAAGGTCAGCCATGTTGCAGCACATATCATTAAACTTTCATTTTTTTTATTTCTTAATAATACTTTCTAATATGGATATACCATTTTATCAGTTCATCAGTTGATGGCCATATAAGTTGATTTCATTTTTGGATCATTATAAATAATGCTGCTGTGAATGTTTTTGCACAAGCTTTCTTGTATGGATATATGTCTTCATTTTTCCTGGCACATACCCACAATATTGTTGGGCCCTATTATAAGTGTTTAATTTTTAAGGAACTGTCAAATGGTTATCCAAAGCAGCTGCACCATTTTGCATTACTTTATCAGTGTATGAGGGCCCCACTTTTACCATATCCTTGACAACACTTGGATTTATCTATCTTTTGTGATTATAGCCATCCTCATACTTACATAAAGTGGTATCTCATTTCATTTCTCAAATGGCTATAAATATAGAACATTCTTTCATGTAGTTATTGGCCATTTTTATATTTTCTTTGGAGAAGTTTCTATTCAGATCATTGTGTTATCTTTTTGTTATTAAATTGTCATTAATTATATATTAGGACAAATGTTTTTATCAAATATGTGATTTGCAAATATTTACTCTCATTCTGTGGGTTGAATTTACTTTCTTCATGGCTGTCACATAAGCATACTCTTGAAACTTTTACTTACATCTAACATCAATTTTGGTTTTTGTTGCTTTTGATGTCTACCTCAGGTATCTATATCTATAATTTCTTCTAAGAATTTTGTGGTTTTACTCCTACATTCAAGTCTGTGACACATTTTGTATTAGTCTGTACACACACCATGTAAACTCAGGATATATCTTCATTCTTTTATATATGGATATTCAGATGTCCTAGCACCATCCATTGAAGTGGAAGAACTTTCCTATATAATTCAGTTTTATCATAATGAAGCCCTAGACAAAGGTGATAGCGTCCACTAGGAAAATATTACAAAGAATAAGGATTTGTGTCAAGGATATGAGGAGGCCAGAAAGGAGTATGGTTGGTTGGCCAGTACAATAATGTCACTGTCATTAATTTCAATTAAAAGCCAGGTGATAAGGTGATTTTAGAATAAAGTGAGCTCTATTTTGGACATGTGAGTTTGCACTGTCCTGTAAAAATATATTGAACATCTGAGAAGATGTTAAATGGAGATGTAGTTGCAGGAATAGTCTTCATATAGACACTAATCGAGCATTTTCTCGAAAGGAAAAATTTAGAGATTAAACAATACCAAAAGGAACACTTTCACTGAGAGAAAAAAAAGGAGTTAAGTAAAAGAGGTGGTTTTTTGGTGCTAAAGATTAAACTCAGGATTTCTACATGCTAAGTGTACACTTAAACAGAGAACTGCGTCTCAGAGCATGAAATAGATTTTTAAAGCAATTCATTAAATAAATTATTCATTTATCATTTCAGAAACTCTTTATAGTACCTCCTAAATAGAAAACCTTTACTTATGGTGCCCATTGGTGCCAGTAACTACACCATAGACCTGGAGCTGGAGAAAGTAAACATAAGTATGGTGTTTGCCTTCACGAAACTTCCCATCCAGCATAAAGCAAGAGACAATACAATGAACAATCAGTCAATGATAAGTGCATGATGAAGAAAGTCTAAAGTGTGACAGAGAACATGCACCTCAGGCCAAGCATGCAGAAAAGGCATAGGGTATAATTTTGTCTAACCAGAAACCTGAAGGTTGAGCAGTAAATAGTCAAAGTAAAGGGCGAGGGGTAGAGGGAAACAATTTGGGTAGAAGGAGAATATATGAAGAATGGGAGATAAGAGAATAATGTTCATCTGAACAGTTACTGAAAGATATCACATCTGGCCAGAGAGCCCAACTCTTAAGAAACAAGTAGGAAGTAAAGTGGAATAAAAAAGCCACTAAATCAGGCAGGTCCTGGAAAACCGTCCTCCAGTCTCCTGAGCTTGTTTTCTCCCATTCAGCATAAGGTCCAGTTATATGGCCTTTGTCATTACCCACTCTGCCAGCACTTGGCTTTGGTCTCAAGCTCTGTCTCCTCTAACAGCCCCAACACCCATCATTGGCATAAACCTCTGTCTGCACTGCTATCCTCACTTTTATCCCATTTTTGATCCCTCTAATGCTGCAAAGAGGTGTGGGAACCTTTGTAGAGTTGGTCACGTGGCCTACAACAGAGCTGACCAGCTCCCCATGCAGATCACCTGCTGCCGTGCTGATTTATAATGAGCTCTCAGGCTTCCTCAGCTGCTCCTGAAATGCTGGTATCACTGCACCACCAAAATTCTCTCTCTCCTAGGAGAAATACTCACCTCCCCTTGTCCTGCATGGATATGGTTTGGAAAGGGAAAGTAGTACAGGACAAAAGGCTTCAGTTTTGAACCAGACAAGGCTGAATTCTAATGCCAGCTCTTGCATCCATTAGCAATGTGGCTCTAAGTAACCCAAATTTCTTTGTCTCTGTTTTCTTACTTACACCATCAGAGTCATGCTTACCCCAAAAGTAAGCATTTCAAATAAGAGACATGGGAAAGTGCCCGGTATGTGGTAGTTACTAAATGGCAGTTTGTTTTTATTCTGTCCTCTACTAAGTATAAACCAAACAGTTTACCCTTTATGACACCTATTTCTACTTAGGCTATCCATACAAGGTACCCCCTTGTAAAGCAAGTCCAGTTTCCATTACTACAACAAATATCTGAAACCAGGAAATTTATGAAGAAAATATACTTATTTCCTACAGTTTTGGAGATGAGGGCATCAAAGTGCATGCTCTAGCATTTGCTTAGCCTTCTTGCTGCATCCAAATACAGTGGAGTGTATCACATGGTGGACAGAGAACCGTGCTAATTCAGGTCTCTCTTCTTCCTCTTGTGAAGCCACTAATGCCACCTTGGGGACCCCACCTCAAGACCTCATCTAATCCCAGTGACATCTCATAGCCCCTGGCTCCATATACTATTACCACATAAATGTGGGGGTTAAATTTTCGCTATATAAACTTTTGTGGATCATATT